AGGCTGTACCATCATCATTTGTATCCAATCAGTTAATGACTGGCAGCTGTTACGGGACTCATTATTGAAGGCAGTGGTTATAAACTATAATGCTTCAGAAGGCTTAAAATTATATTCTGTTAAAACATGTGCTAGACTGAAGTGCTCCAAAACTTGAAAAGACTTTCAAAGACAGAAAGAAAACTATCTCCCATCTCAGATAATATGAAAGACTGGCTCTAAAGCATTTCTAAACTTTTGCTGGGCTCAAATAACATAACAGATTAAGAAAAATCTGCCTTAGGGAAGAATACTGCCTTTCTCATCATTGCTAAGGAAGTAAATTAAATTAGAATTATTATTAGTTTGTTATAAATAGAAGCAGAAAAATAAAAAAGGACCTTGGATCAAAATACCTTTGATTCTACCAAACAGAAGCATGTATCACTGAAGTAGTCCTGTCAATGACAGCAGATCCAAAAGTCACTCCACTCCCGATTCTACCACTCTCGTTTGCTCAGTACCTGGTACATAGCCTCATAGTTCACTTTTGCCCTAACTCATGGATGTACATTAGACCTCTAAAACATTAAAAAAAACTTTTTTTAGGGGAAGGACAATAACCATACTCTTACTATTGAATATTTCCTTGACTGAATATATTGTCTCTACCGGGTACAGTCTCTAATGTATATATGGTATTTGTTAAAACAAAAAAAACCTGCCCTCTCGCACCATATTTTCTAAAACAAGGGTCAATGCATGCAGACATAAACTCATTAATACCAAAACTTTAGTATGTCAAATAGTGTTAAGTGCTAGGAGTAAAATGAAGATGGAAGAAGACAGAACATGCTAGATAGGACAGAGGCAGAGGGATAGCTGTAAATTTAGCAAGGTACACAATGTTCAATAAAACATCAGACTAATAAGGTGATTTGGGTCCAAAGACGTAAAGAAGGAGATCTCTACCACAGCAGGAATGTCTAGGGAAAGACAAGGGCAAAAGCCCAGGGAAGATGTTTCACTGGCAAAAAGAGGATATATCAAAGGCTAGAGGAGCTCAAATAATAGATTGCCTGCCTAGCAAGGACAAAGCCTTGAGCGCAGACCCTAGTACCACCAAACAAGAATATTTTAAAAGAAGAGGGGATCTAAAAGAGACAAGCAGGAAAGGCTGCTAGATTTATAGGATTTTGTCCATAATTGTATGAATTTTTATTTTTATTTTTGGAAGAAATGAGAAGCCATATTGAAATGCAACACATGCTCTGATGTATATTTCCACACATCAGGGGTCACTAGGGCAACTGATTAAGAGTAAACTCAAAGGATATAACAAGGGAAGCAGGGTGTCAGCTCAGACCGTAAAGCAACTGGAGTCATCATTAGAGCAGGAAACACTAATGAATGAAAATGAATGAAGGAAACATTTGACAATCATTACCCAGAAATCTACAGGGCACATCCAGAGTCATAGCAGAGGCAGGAACTGCTGGTGATAGAAACTGTTAGGAAAGACATTCTCTGCCTCTGTATCTAGCAAGGGAAAGGAGAAGAATAAGTCTTACAAAATATACACTGAGCACTCTCCATCCAGAGACATACATTTTAGGAGAAAGGCTTTATGATAGCTTTTATAGAACTGGGGGAGGAAAGGAGACATACTCCTTTCACTCCAGTCACTTTAAGACTTCCTCTCCACCAGAAATTGGACAAATAGAAAGCTAAAGGAACACTTTTGAAGGTCACAAACCAGAGAAGCTGAGATTTAACTGTTAGGTAATAGAAAACCGATAGCCAAACCTATAGGATCTCTGTACAAAGGTAGTGAGTTATGGCTGAAAGATGCAAATTGTAAACTGAGAATACTTAGGATAATTAAAAACAAGGACCCTAGAGGAACTTGTCACTTCTGGAAGGGAGAACTATCGCAGACATTAAGTACAGTCTGACTCCCATCCAGATTAATATAAAGCTTACTCTAGAGTGTCAGCTCCTCTTATAAAATATACCATGCCTGATGTAAAATTTAGAAAAAAAATAAAACATAAGAAAATGGAAGTTGACAGGTAAAAGTCTTAATGATAAATCAAGTGAAAGATAATGGTGGCTTGAGATAGAGTGGTAACATCAGAGGTGGTAAGAAGTGATCGATTCTAGATGCATTATTGAAGACACAATAGAAAGGAATTACTGATGTAATGGCTGTGGAAGAAGCAAAGGAAGAAAGAAAGCCCAGGCAACTCAGATTGTTGTCAATGCTGCTGGGAAGTTGGAGTTTCTATCTACTGAGATGGTAAAGGCTGCAGGTAAAGCAGTTAACTAGGGCAATGTGGGGAATACTGATTTCAAGGTCTTACTAATTGATATGTTAAAGGACTTAAATAATTCTATTCAGCTATGCATCCACCTAACTAATAATATTTTTGGAATGCTTAAGCATTATGCCATATTTCAAGTGTTATGGAAAAGACATGGAGGGTCAAAAATTGTTGTGCATGTGTGCAATCCCAGCTACTGGGGAGATAAAGATAGGATGATGATAGTTAAGGCCAACTGAAGTAAAAAGTCAGTTGAGCCAGAAGCTGATGGCTCATGCCTGTAATCTTAGCTACTCAGGAAACTTAGATCTGAGGATAGTGATTTGAAGCCACCTAGGCAGGAGAGCCTGTGAGACTCTTATCTCCAGTTAAGTATCAAAGAAGAAGAGCTGGGAGTGGAGCTGTGGCTCAAGTGGCAGAGCATTAGCCTGAACAAAGGGACAGTGTCCAGACCCTGAGTTTAAGGACCAGAAAAAAATAAAATAAATAAATAAGCTAATTGATACTATCATAGAAGCCTGTGATAATGCCAAATACACAGAAAGAAGTGGTAAGAGAACCAGACAAACATGTATGGCATTATCTGATACATAACTAAAACAATCTTTCGCTCAAGTAGTAGAGTGCTTGCATAGCATCGCAAGACCCTTAGTTCAAACTCAATCACTGCAAAAGAGAAGTGACAATAAAATATGTAGTGAAGGAAATAGGCAATGCTTAGTAGTTCTGTAACTGAGTAACTAGATGAAGAAATGACTGAATACTTTAACCATGTCACCAAAATATAGACTCACTTCTATATCCATTAGCAAGCAGAATAGCTATGGCTGAAAAGTATCTATGGAGTTTTAAAAATATTTTCACACATCTGGAACAGGGAAGACTATTTACAACCTGCTCTCTGAGCATCTGCCTTCCTTCTTTTTCAGGAAAAAAAAAATAGCGAGATACTTGGCTTCCTAGAATCTAGATAACATTTCCCAGCATTTCTTGTGGCTTGGCGTGGCTAACGATCTGTGAGAAAATGTGGGGTGTGCAATTTCAGTGAAAGGACCTGGAGAGAATGGGTATACCTAAAGTTTGCCCTTTGTCTGGTATTTCCTGCGAGCTGAAGTGCTGATGTGATAATGAGCCCTCCTGGACCACAGGAACAGGGTGACACCACTGAGATGGCAGGGGAACAAACAAGAAAAAGCATGGCGCCATCTTATCAGCTCCGAGCTGCACATGCTTAGGTTGTTACATTTCTATCTTATTTAACTCACGGCTATCATAGCCCTTTGGAATAGGAGTGTAGTCCGAAATTTAACCAAAAACAAATTTCATAAATACTCAGGGTTTTGTTTTTTAATTCTTTACCATGGATGTGTTTTTAACAAGTCTATGGCAACATAGACTTATTCTATATACATCTATCAACCAGTAACGGAAAACAAAACAAAAAATGAAATAGCTGAAAAGTATTCACAAAAACAAGTGCAACAAATTTTGCATATTTCATCACTGAGGCTTGAGAACTGCACAACTCTACACTATGCACTAGCTCAACATTAATATTTCTATTTCCCATCAAAATCCCTGCAACCTATTAGTAAATAAATAGAAACAATTCATTCTTGGCTGAACACAATGTGTTAAGCCACACACAATGCTCACTGAACTCTTGGCTTAATTTGTGCTAATCAGAGAAAGATGACAAAGTTGTTTCTAAGTGTCTTGATGTTTGGATCATATCCAGATATGTATTAGTAAGCCATCTTCATACATCTTCAACCTTTGGTATTTGAGTCTTAATAGAAAATTACATTGGAAGGACTACCAAAATCTACATTCAGAATGTTATACAAGCAACCATAATGTCAGGAATAAAAACATGACTCATGAAGAGTAAGGAAATCTGGCACGATTTACCATAACATATTTCTACACTGTACACTTACTTCTATTCAACTGTTCTCTGTCTCAAACACTATTTAAATTGTTTAAACCAAAGGAATCTATTTTCAAAGTGGCCAGCTACTTGCATTTTTCTTTAAAGAAAATTTAATTCTGCTTTGGCTATCAATTTTGAGATTTGCTCAAATATTTTTTAAACCTAAAGCAATAAAAGTAAGGTTTCACCAACCTTCTCATTCTATTGTGAAAAGCATTAGTTCCTTAGGTGAACTTAAGAAACCTTAAATAAGGCTGTGCCACCTCAGGTTGGCAACACACATTATTTAACCTCTACAGAGCTAATAGTGAGTTGTTCCTCTACTCACACACACTGACAACTCCAAGACACCATTCCAAGATGCAGTGGTAGTCTTTCCTTCAGGACTAGCGGTGTTCCATCAAACAAGCATTGGAAAACACAAGAACTGATATGTACAGAGATAACCTGACTCATTGCATGATGAAAGAGATATGCATTATTAGTCATTTCAAATGTAGGAAGCAAGTCCTGTTTTCTAAATTCTTGTGCTATCAATTCAAAATAAGACACATTCTAATTCTTCTAGATAAATCTTATCAGGAAAATATTTCACTAACTACAGAATTGCTGGGAATGCCTCTACAAGTCTCATAAAAATAATGAAAGGTATTGGTTTTGCATGAAAGGATCTCTTCTTCTGTATGACTATGTGTTATGAAGCAAAAGGATAAAAAGTTGGGAAGTGTAAACAGTCCAAGCAAAAGCATAAAATAAAATATTACCTTTAGCTGGGTTTACTTTTATCCCTGACCTATAGAGCATTTCCTCATTCTGCCAGTCTCCATTCCTGATTGCAGTCTTGAGTCCGTAGAAAAGAATTAGTGTAGCTGTAGCATAAAAAATCAAGCTCTTGAGGAACCGCTTTTGGACTTTGACATAAAGGGCTCTGGCACCTACTGTAATCAGGAGGCAGAAGCCCATACTAGGAATATATAACACTCGCTCTGCAATTACAAAGCCAACATAGAAAAACAAGTTTGTGGCAGGAATAAAGGGTATTATTAACAAAGATAAAGACAGAACAACAATGTTTTCAGTAGAAGGGAGTTGTGTTCTCGGCGATACATTATTTTTAATGCCATTTTCTACTTTGGATGCAAAGCTGGGCTTAATCTCTGAGTTCCGGTACTCCACTTCAGAATGGCAGCTGTGTCCATTTGCATTCTGCTTGCCATTTATCACAGCATTCTCATTGCATTCTCTTTCTGAGCTCGGGCTCTTCAAACCATAGTAGGCAAGGAGGAGGAGTCCAGTATAGAAGGCCACAGTGTGTAGGTTTCTCCCATCACAAATTGTTTTGAGAAGAGGCACGGCATCCATTGACCAGTCGAAACTGAGAGTATCTGGGCAGAGCAACAACCAGAAGTTCTTGGTTGGCAAATAGAAGAAGGTAAGTGTGCGAGCCAGGAGGCTATCAGAGTCAGCAGCTGGGTTGTCCGAGTTGGAAAAGCTTGGTGGTTTGTTTCCCATCCAGTAAAACCGGGCACCCAAAAGGGAGGTCCCCCAGAAAGTTAACAAACTAATGCTGAGCAAAAGAGACAAGTTCTTCCTCTGAAACCAAAAGAGAGGGAGAGAAATAAAGATCATCATCAGTATGGCATTTTTTAACATTAAGGGGTAAAATATATATTTTATACGAGCAATTATAAAACTGCATTATGTCCCAAATATAGATCCTCATTCTTTTCCTATCTTTTAAATACGTTCAGAAAAAAATAATAACTTCAGAACAATGACTGTGGAGTGTTAATTTTTATATAATTTGAAAACTGTCTTTCATTCTTCTTCCTTTCTAAAATACCAATAACCAAAGATTCAAAGACCTGCCTGATAAACAGTAGGTCAAAAATATTTCTCTTCTTTATGATTTAGGTGTATGGTTTTAAAAAAAAAAGCATATAAGAAAATATAAGATCGGGGCTGGGAAAGTGGCTCAGTGGTAGAGTGCTTGCTTTGCATGCATGAGGCCCTGGGTTCAATTCCTCAGCACCACATAAGCAGAAAAAGCCGGAAGTGGTGCTGTAGCTCAAGTGGTAGAGCACTAGCCTTGAGCTGAAGAGCTGAGGGACAGCGCCCAGGCCCAGAGTTCAGGCCCCACGACCGGCAAAAACAAAACAAAACAAAACAAAACAACAACAAAAAAAGAAAATATAAGATATAGTAGGATCCTATTTAAGGGGCAGTAATGATATTGGGCTATGTCCATTCCAACCTGAACATCATTGTCTTGAATCTTCTTGCAGAATGTATAAAATAGGTTTTCATTGGTTGCCATATCCTGTCAATAACATCAATGGCATCTAACATGTAATAACACTTCTCATGATTTCCTTGCAGATTTTTTTTAAAAATAAGGGCTTTACAAGAATCATCCTCATCTTCAAAAAGTGGTAGGTCTGTCTGACCAAATGAAATGGTGAAAATCCTCATTATCTTCTCTCTGGGAATAGCTTATATACCCTTAAGATATTGTATGTAATTTCAGCAATTTTAGAAAATAAATATTCAAAACAATAATACATTAGAAGCTGTAGTAATTTGATAACTCACTAACTCAGGCATATTCTTGAGTACTCAGTTCTATGAGGAAGATACATATTATTTGGTGAAGATCAAGAGAGGAGACTTTATGGATAAGACATAAAAAAATTCCTGATTTTAAAATAAGTTGCTAATTTTGAAGTATGACCAAGACCATTCTTATACATCCTGATGTGGAGTGATTGAAGATGGGACCAAATTATTCCTTTCAAAAATATTTTTAAAAATGTTTCCTACAAGTTCGAGCCTAGCTTGTTTCAGAATAAAGTAATAAAAAGGGCTGAGAATGTTAGCTTTGACATAGGCCATTGTTTAACATAAAGGAAGGCCACCTGTGTTTCATTCTCTGGCCACATAACAAAACAAAACAAAAAATATGATAAAGATGTGAGTAGTGAAAAACTATTCAATGATAAATATTTTAAGTACTGGAAGTGTAATTTAAAATGAAAAAGAAGTAAAATAATCACATTTACCAATGCAGTACTTTAAATTTTAAAACATTTTTATAATACTTTCCATTTAAATTAATAAAATAACTAAGATCAAGAGACACTAAAGCTTCTTAAGTGAAGCAGCCCCATACACACATTCTAACTCCATAGTGACATTTGTAAGTATGAAATTAATGCACTATCAGGGAGGAACTAAACCAAGAAGCAAAGCTGCTATTAAAATGCTTACAATGGAAGAGCTTTTACAGTCTTGTGATCTACTACCACGAGTAACTGAAAATTCAAATAGAAAGTTTCATTCCTCTTTAATGCTTCTCCTAGAAATTAAAAAGTTATCACATATAAAAATAATTGTAACAAAATCTAATCTGTCTGCTAATCTCATTCACTAATCCTATGAATCTTTTTTTTCCCTCTCATTTTACGTAAGGCCTTAAAAAGCTTATTTTTTCATTTAGTCCCTATGCTCTGATCTAGAGATTAAATCAAAAAATAAGTTGAATAATCCCAAAGTTCACCTTAACATTGCTTTTTAAAATACTTTTAATTTCTTGAGAGGAAAGCTCACTATGTGCTCAGATTGGAGTTTAATTAAAAGTCCTCCAACCTTGAGGTATAGCCACAGCTCACTCTAATAGGCTACATTTAGATTCTCAGTTCTTGGTTGGTACACTCAAACTATTCAAGACAGGTGTTGCTTTCTGAGATAGATAAGACCCAGGTAATCTAGTGAATTAATATCTGTTATAGGAAGCATTAGCAAATAATTCAATATTTACCACATAATTAGTCCATTCAATTAATGAAATCCATTATGAATAATGGGTAGTGATATATCTCCTTATCTACTCCACATTGAATATATATACCTGTTATAAGATTAGTATTCGAATTTTTTTGGAGTTTTACCCTCTATCAAGAAAACATGAGTGGAGGGGGAGAAGGAAGAGTCAAAATGAATTAAAAAGTAGTTTTCAAACATGACAGTCCATGAACACCAGCTGTCAGCTTTAAAAATACAACTGCCCTAATCCTGGGATGGTAAACTAGGTGCTGCACATATAGGCAGAGCTGATCATCATCCTGCACCTATAGAAGTCTAATTCTCAGTACTGTCATTAAAGTTTCTATGAGATTCCTACTTTCATTTCACAGAACTGTGGTGTATAGTATCCTAATTGTAAATAAATAAACAAGCCACAATGAGACATAAATAATATTTCTCCCAGGCTCTGGAATGAATTGAATTCTTCATATTACAATTGAGTTGTCAGGAAAGCTAACTAAACGGATGTGAGAATATTATTAGTAGAATTATAAACTGAAATAGTCACACAGAAGACAGAAACTGATAACAGATTTTGTAAACATTTTGGAGGCAGGATGAAAGGTGCATTACTTGGACTGAAATTCAGGTCTCTACCTTGTGATATAAGTTTCCTACTAGCCCTTAAATCTCTCAATTATGAATCACAGAAGGCAAAATAATCCAGTAGAAAGGTTAAAAGAATATAAAAGAAATTTATAGAAAAGAGCACAGTAAATACCTGAATTTTTACAACACTAAACAGAACAATTTCATTAGTTCATAAAAATATAATTTAAATATATATATATGTATAATTCTTAAAGAAGTAAAGAAAATATTAAGGTAGATATAATGTGTTGGAGAAATACTAATTGGACAGTTTTGCTGGACAATTTGTAGTATACAGTATGAGTATGCAATAACATTTTATATCATTAGTGATTTGGTAATATATATTTATTATACACAATCTTGTAAACTCTGTTAGGTCTAATAATGAAGTATTGTTATAAAACTAAACAAACAAAAAAGGGAACTGCCAAAAACTTCAATAAGGATTATAGAAATAAATCATAATCTATCATTATAGTCAAGTCAATACACAATTAAAAGAAAAACTACATAGAAAGATATACATATATATGCATGTATATAGCCAAAGTAAAAATTAAAATAACTGAACTAAATCTTTATATAGTACCATACCTACTGAACATTTGTGTTTAATATGTAAATATTATAGAATCATCAAGTCCATTCAGGGAAAAAAATGTTTTTAACAAATGCATTCACATGCATACAAGGATTGTTTCTCCCCAAGCCTAGAAATATTTAGCTCAAGCTTACAAAGATAAACCTTCTGCAGTAGAAAAATAGGTCCATTAAAAAAAAAAGAAAGAAAAATAGGTCCATATAAAAAAAGTTTAAAAAAAGTCTTTAAATCTGCAAGAGTCTCTGCATCTACAATGCAAAGAAAAATTTACTACTAAGGAGTGACAATGATTAAAATATAGTGTATTTATAAATTGTTAAATAGCAACTCTTTTGTACATTACTTAAAGATGAAAGAAAGAAAGAGAGGGAAAGAAAGAGAAAGAGAGAAAGAGAAAAAGACACACAGACATGGGACATTGTTACATGGCTAAAATGATAGATCACCTGCCCAGAAAGTAGAAGGTTCTGAGTTTAAACCTTAGTAAATTAAAACACTAAGTAAATGAAAACACTGAAAGGACAGGTTTCCATGTAGCAATGCTACCTAAAATTATCTGTGTTACTATATTTGATGTCAGTATAACTTGTGGAGGAGATGGGGAAAAACAAGTCGTTTAAGGATACAGGTGGACCTGTTGCAACAATGAGAAGTACAAGTTGTCATGTCCAAAATGAGCTTTACAACGTCGGTGCGGGGGGAGGGGAAGGATTGGGATTGGGATTGGGATTGGGAAGGGGGCGGCTGGGAAGGGATGTGAAGGGTAAATAAAGGAGGAGGCTGCAATGCTTGGTAAGAAATATATGCATTATCCTGCCCATGTAATTGTAACCCCTCTGTACAGTATGTTCACAAATAAAATAAAATTAAATTTAAAAAAATTATCTGTGTTAATTTTATTAGAAAATACTTTAAATTGATAAGAAAATTAAACTAAAAACATACTGTACACATATTGAGATACAAAATTTCAATAATACTGTTCAAATGCTAGCTTTTAGAACTGAGTTTCTCCAAGTGACACATTTCAAGTCCCCTACAGGGTAAGATAGAGCCTGGTATTTACAGGCACTCAAACCACAGTTGACCTTCAAACTTTTTTTTTTTTTTGGGTCCAGTCGTGGGGCCTGAACTCTGGGCCTAGGTGCTATCCGTCAGCTCTTCAGCTTAAGGCTAGCGCTCTACCACTTGAGCCACACAGCCACTTCTGGCTTTTTTCTTTTTGTTTATGTGGTGAGGGCCCAGGGCCTCATGCATGCAAGGCAAGCGCTCTTCCACTGAGCCACCTTCCCAGCCCCTGACCTTCAAACTTTTAAAACCTATTTCCTACCTATCTTTGTCTCACACATTTTAAGTCCTATTCTGCAAAATCCTCATGCTCCAGGGAGGCTCATAAGCAACATTACACCTGATTGCAGAGTACTGTTTCCTAAAACTTGATATAAAGGAATTCTATGCTTCTATCAGAAAGAATGACATTGCCCCATTTGTTAGGAAATGGAAAGACTTGGAAAAAATTATATTAAGTGAAGTA